ATAAGACCTGTCACCAAATTTTTCATCGGTCTCAGCAACATCCACAACAGAACAAGCAGTTTCCGAACCAATTATTCCTGAAAAATTATTACATCTAGAACTTGTCATACCCAAACAACTGCAGCCCCTTACTAATATTACAGTAACGCCCACTAATATTTAATCTCAAAAAAGGGACTTATCCGAGATCTCGACTCCAGATCCAAAAGACAATGATAACCCACCATTACACGACCCATTCCCTGAACCTGACGCAAAAACACTGAAAAAGCATCGACTGAGTTCATCAAGAGAACAATTAGCGGCAACAGTAGAGGTAGAACTTTTACCAGCCAAACAACTAATCGAGAAAGGAGCAGATTCATTTACTTTGAGTTACGCTTAGCTGAAGGACTTCCTAGAGAATGTACATGGAAACAGTGATCCTCTCAGTACAGCCAGATAGTACACAGATGATATATATGGGGTAATAAGCATGCTATCCAGAGTGTACCCTTGCTTCACCGAGCGTAGTATGAAAGCAAGATGTACAAAACTACAAAAAAAACTCAAGAAACAGTTAGCGGAAGAACAAGGTGCCCCCAAATCCAATATATCTGACACTGAGACTATTTACATAATAATAACAATAATAATACATAAGAACTAGATAAAATTACTTATATACTTCAATGGAATATTAACGGGATATACACTCACCTTGAAATGCTCAAATTATTTATATCAGAAAATTAACCTCTTGTTATTTGCTTTCAAGAGACCCACTTGAAGAATAACCAAACATATCAAATGGAAAATTATAGCTCTTTTCATAAAACGCGAACTGAGCAAACTAGAGGAAGTGATGGAGTTGCAATATACGTGAAAAGATCGGTAAATGTTGAAAGCATCCCTTTGGCGACTAAATTGGAAGCAATTTCAATCAAAATAAAACAAGCTAAAGAAGTGAACATCTACAATATATATATATATCACCCAATGTGGAAGTGTCCTACGCAGAGATCTATGGACTGTTTCAACAAATAACGAAACCCAGAATTATCCTAGCAGATTTCAAGGCTCACAATATTCAGTGGGGATGTGTGGCAACAAATAGCAAAGGTAGAACTCTGATGGAAGCGATAGAGGAGGACAATCTAATAATACTCAATACTGAAGAAATAACCCGACTCAACCCTACAGGCACTTCGAGTATTCTAGATCTTACTATCTGCGACCTCTCTTCGGAAGGCAGATTCAACTTTGAAGTACTCCCTAACTCATATAGTAGCGATCACTTTCCTATCGCGCTATCTAATAATGGAAATGGAAACGTACAGCAAACAGTTAACGCAGATGGAGGCTGCAGAGTGCTAACTGGGGCTTATTTTCCACCACTGTCGAAAATGATTTGGAAAACTTCCAAATAACAGATGACATCAACACCGTGGTGAAGAATTTCACAACCATCATCATCAGCACAGCAGAATATTGGGAAGACAAAAACCATTAGAAACAAAACCCCTGAACCATGGTGGAATAGGGACTGTGAAGAAGACCAAGAATGCTCTGAACAGGTTCAAAAGAAAAAAAACGAAGGACAACTGAATAGTATTCAAAAGACCCAGGGCCAAATCAAGGTGGATTACAAAAAAGAGCAAACGCGATTCCTGGGCAAGCTACGTATCCTCTATCAACTCATCCACTCCAATAAAAATGGTATAGAATAAAATCAACCGTATAAATGACAGAAACGTAAGGTCTGGCATAAATTCACTAGAGCATGAAGGACGCAATATCACCAACGCAGGGGAAATATCAGAAACACTCGCAGAAATGTACCAGAAAAATCCTAGTGATACAAACTCCTCTGAAGTTTTTCTGAGAAGGAAAAGAGGGGTCGAAGCTGTTGTTATTTACCGGAATAAATCCGGAGGAACAACCACTTAACATGAAAATAAATAGGGATAAATTATACGACTCACTAAGGGACTGCAAAAATCTTAGTCTTGGCCATGACGACATACCATTAATTTTTCTCTATAAACTTCCTCCAAAAGCAACAAAAACTGCTCAAAATCGACAACAGAATATGAACAGAAGGATGCTTCCTAGACACATGGAGAGAGGCTATAATAATACCATTTATAAAGCAGAACCAATCCAACACGAGCCCCAGAGTCTTACAGACCAATTTCACTCATCTGTACAATGTGTAAGCTACTAGAAAAAATTGTTAACCGAAGGCTTATGTGTTACTTGGAAAAAAATGGGCACCTGGCACCTGAGCAGAATGGGTTTCGAAAGACTCGATCTATACTGGACAATCTGGTAGATCTTGAAAGTTACGTCCACGAAGGATTCGCGAATAAACAGTTTTGCACAGCAATTTTTTTCGATATAAAAAAAGCCTACGNACTGGCAAATGCAGTGGCAACAAAACTGCTCGAAATTACTCGAAGTGAAACATTCGGTAAAACCTTGGAACATCTACCCTCCAAATAGACGGCACCAGGTGATTCTATCTAGACTGCGTTTAGGTCATACACGGTACACTCACGAACACATCCTCAGAAGAGAACCAGAGAAAATATGTGAATTATGCGTAGTGCCGGTGAGTGTGAAACATTCATTAATGGAGTGTCCAAAGTATGCCAATCTTCGCCAGATATTTAATTTGGAACCTGACTTCAAATCTATATCGAGAGAGAGATGTGACATAGAAAATTCATTATCATTTTTCAACAAACTCAACTTAACGGACAAATTATAGACATTGATTGGGAACTTGTTGATATATACTGAATAATGTGAGTGTAATTAAATATAAATCTCGTATTGTATTGTTGTTGTTAATAACCCTCCGTGGTTGATGCAACTTTCTTTCATTGTAAAAAAAAATAAATAAATAAATCTGTATATTCGTGAATCAAATTTAGCTCACTATTTCCCCCTCCAGGTCATTCTTGGTATTCCATGCTGAAATATACCGGTATAGGGCTGGAATTGCTCACGGATATTGAAATTAATTGATTATTTCGAAGGGTATACATGGAAATATCAGTCAGTGTTCTGAAAGAAAGCATGTTTCCAATAATCATTTTCTGCCAGATTACGATCAGAATGAAGCATCATCATTCACAACTCATTTCGACGGTATCAACCTTTATAGTCACAGTATGTTCCAATGATTACCGACAGGTAATTATTGGAACATACTGTGGTAATCAACTGGATATCATGTGCATTCCAAATGATGGTTCTAAGGATTATTTATTGGAAGTAGGTATTCATTACCCTGGAGAACTTCACGATATGCATTTGGATCTGCCATTTTTGGTAGAAAGTTCAATTCCACCCGATTCCAATTCAAAAATACCCAAATTGATACGTAACCTGAATGATTTCAGAAAAAAAATTATCATCATACGCAGAAAAAAAAATTATCATCATACGGCTTTGAAGCAAGTAGTTGAAAATGGTTTGATAGTTATGTGAACTCATAGAGCTGTCCCAATCCAATCAACTACCATGAATACCCTTATCCAGCGACATATGTTCATCATTAAAACAAAAACAAATGCGAGAACAAATGCTATCTCTGGAGAACAATGGAGAACGTTGATTGTAAGAATGATATTCGACTTGTGACTCATTAGGAATACGTAAGGCGTGCCACGGGTGCGACTGCCATCATTGCTCTAACCAATTTCAAAACACTCCATTTTTTCATTCATTCATATGGGTAGAGTGAAAATAAATCACAATACGTGTATCTTGGATACAGTATTTTTCCATTCATCTTGAACAGTTATGTATGAGTTTTTTATATTTTCATGACATGTTTGAAAAAAAAAGGATAACTTTCTTCATCTAATAAAATTATTTGAATGGATTCACCATAACGCCATGAAGGACGCAATATCACCAACGCAGGGGAAATATCAGAAACACNTTTGTTAAATTATTGCACAATTGATCTTTTCGATATTGAATTTCAAATGAACCATTTCGAATATAGTGAAATTATGATATGACGTAGTACTCTCAGTTGGAGGTCATTCAAGGTAGACTGCTTAAAACCTCAAGATATCCGTGCGACAAGAAGTGTGAATCAAGGTCGATTGAGGTCAAACTTAAAACACTATCCCAAAGTCACCTTGTCTATGTGACAATGTGATGTTACTAAAAGTAATTCAAAGTCTAGCAAACTGAGCAGTTGAAGGTCGTTCAAGGTCGAATCCTTAAAACTTCGAGTCCCTTGTCTACATCGTGTGACGGAGGTCAAAGTCGTTCAAGGTCGAACTCAAGATACTTCTTTAAAGTCACCTTGGCAACATCGTGTGGGATATGTCAAGGTCGTTTCAAGGTTGGAAGTGGTGGGGAAGGTTCCAAAATCGGCTGGAACCAACTACTCAAGTAAACCTTCGATAAGCACTGATGATAGGGCGACACCATGTCATGATTTATGTCCTTGAGAAATTGCCATGAATACCATCCGCCAGTGTAAAACAAATGGGAAGGACATACACGTTTCTCTGACAGCTTGGTAAAAGCCAGTAACCGCTTTATCACAAATGTGGACTCAGCTGGACTTTGTAGTCAGATTATTTGAACCGTCTCTGTGAAGCACAAATACATATGAAAATATTCTGGGTGTATAAGGCGTTAACTTGACAGTAAAAACTTTCATTGAAACACTATACCTATCTTGTCTTTTGCATTCATTCATGACCAATAATTGTAATAATTGTAACGTTGAAAAAACTCAATTTATCCTAATCTGATACACATTTGAGCTTTTATGATGCTGTATGAGAACACAGTAACTTATCGTGTATAAACTTTTCTGAATACATTTACCGGAAAGTTATCATCGGACTATTACGATGGGTATATCTCACGAAGCTGTTATCTATATCTGATTGTGGAATAATCACACTATGAATATTAACCAACAAGCAAATTCACCGATGTAAAATGTTCGATGTTACAGAAAATAGAACAACCATATTTTGCAGATGTATATGACGGACAAACTCACTTTGTTTGGTGATATCACTAACGATCAGGTGAAATTCAACAACTTTCGTGTCTACGGCACAGCACTTCTGATAGTGATGGGAACGATAGTGTATCTTGGAGTGAAATTTGTCAATAAATTTGCAACAGTGGCTCTGGCATGTGTACTTTTCTCCATTTTAGCTGTATACATTGGAATTTTTGTCAATATCAACGGAAATGATAAGTTACAGTTAGTATTCAGTTTTTACTAAGAAGGTTTCTAGGTCAGGAAATTCAGCGAATATTCATACGATTCATGAAGCGTTGAGGTACTCTCGTGATTATATTTTATTCGAACCATTACTATTCGAAAATCCTACATTAGCCTCTAAAAAAGGGTAAAATTTGAAGTATCCGTAAAGTCTAGTAACTCTACGGAAAACAGCTTGAAATGAGGCTCTAAATGAGACTCAAGTGATATTGTTGAAAATATTTATTCTTAGAAAATGTATGTTCAACACTACTTGATAATAATTCGTATTTAATCACTATAACAAATCACATTGATCCTTAATTTTTTTTGTATATATTGGAATCACCAGCTCACCTGCTGACAGCCTGATGAACAGAAGATAATCTCGTTAATTCATTTTTCAAGCTGAATTTCCTCTCCTAAGATATTGGTTTGGCATGAAATTTAGCTTAGCATATGCACGAAAAGTGCTGAAGGTTTTATACATGATAATCAGGTAAGAAGCTGCAGAAACATTATGGTCGTTTTGTTTGCTACAACCAATTTATGAATGGAACATTTGTGTATATATTATGTGTTCATGTGAAATATTTCGAGTATTGTATATGAGTTTGATATCACATGGATTATGTGAAAGTTAAGTTTCTCACATAGGAGTCTGCCAGCTCCTTTTTTGATTGGATGATTTTGGATAGATATACCTCCAAATTATGTGTTGGCGAGTTGATGACAGTATTGATAGGCACGCTTAGCGGATTTTTGGAAGACCGTACAGCTCAGGACATCTGCTAGATTGTTCTGGAGGTATGGTTTTCTACTCAATTTCTTGACCTATATCGAAGTACTGAATTGTAGACTTGGTGATTTTTCCTGAATATGTCATGGAGTATCTGGTTGACAGTTTATAGGAATTGTTTCGGAGGGGGTTCATCATTTTTTTGGGTTCGTCTCTATCTCTTGTAATCGCTAATCTGTTCGTGATGCACTTCGAGAAAGAAGCACTCAAGAACGCTTTCTTTATACCAATTTTATGAAAAAGATATTCAAATTACATTTTCATCATCTGGCCTCACGGACAACACGAACTAGACCGGTTCGTGACTCATCTAAACAGTATCCATTCCCGTTCCCGATCCACTAACGAAATGGAGAACAGTCATCTACCCTTCCTAAACCTGCTAACCAACTGGTACTCTGGGCTCCACAATTTACCAAAAATAGACACAACCCAAATCTCACCATCACCAAACCCAGTTACAATCTTTAGCTAATAAGCTCGTAACTCGCTGTTTACGCAGTTACAAGTCTAGATAATACTATCTGAGATGATGTGTAAAAAAGAAATAAAACTTTTTGAAAGCTCGAATAACCAATAAATAATGTTTCTTATATAGCCATTTCAAGGCCCTTCGCTATCGAGTGGAAAAGAATGGAGATAATTCGAATAGAAATGGAGGAAGCTATTTTTTTTATTTATCATCAAAGCTACATTGAATGAATACCTACAATCGAACTACAGTTACTTATAAAATATAGTTTACGTATGTCTGTGCCTGACAAAACATTCAAATTTAGTAGATTCCATAGTCGATCGAACTCATTTTTTTCCGTCGATAACATTGCTTAATAATAATTCTTAAAAATCACGGAGGAGTTTTACACAAACAACGAGATTTATTTACCTAATCTCAATTTGCTCGATTCCTCGATAAACATGTAATAAACTTCAAAACTAAAACATCATTGCTTTTTCGATATTTTCCGTTATCGGTAATTTACATATACAAAATAGTCAATATATTTCTTTGGGAATTTACTTTTTTTTTGAGTTCAATGTTTTGCAACTCCTCAATTTTATCATGATCTGAACCTTGGTATTGATTTTCGGTGTCTTCTTTTTCAATTTCTTTTTTTCTGGCGAAATGCAATTAATTTCACACAAATATATGTAGTTTGAATCTCTAACATTCTATGCCATTTTCTATTTTTTGACATACAAATACATTCTCAATTTGAGTATTCTTAATGTTTCCATTCATTTCAAAATGAGTAAATTTTATTTGATTTTGATGAAAAACCGTCTCCTACTGTAATAATTACTCCATTTTTTAAATTCACTACGCTTTTAAAGTACTTATCTGTATTTATCATATATCTGAACATCCGCTATCTAGCAACCATTTCATTATTTCTACAGATTCTCTTTCTGATTCGGCATCTGTCAGCATTATCTTTACTTGAGAAGAAATACATCTTGGTTGTGATAGCATTCCTCAACGACCTCTGGCTGCACCTCATTGACCTCTGAGATGTGTATTTCTGAAATCCCCTCTCTATATTTGTGTGCTGAAAACTTGTGAATCACTTCTCATGCTGTTGTTTTCTCTTTTCTTGAATTCTAGCAATAGTTTGATCTCGACGTGTTCAACAGTCTTTTCTTCCTTTGGTAGGGCATCTACTATATCGACAATATGAGAATAATTTTCTAGAAGAAGCAGTATTTCAGTTTGTCGGTTTCATTAGCCCCTTTTTCATTAATGAGTCTTTCAAATTCATTGAAAAATTTTGTTGGGTTTCAGTCCTTTTTAGCTTCAGGCCAAACGTCTTCTTCCCGTTAAGAGTTTATCTATACAGTTTTTCACTGAATATGTACTGTGTAATTTTTCTATCATCTTCCTGTCACTTTTGTCCGATATTATGACTTCTAGCTGGGCATTTGATATAATATTAACAATGTCCTTTTTCGCTTTTGAATCCATCTTTCGTTTAGTCATCTTCTTGAAATTTCTCAGGTTCATTTTCATTTATTTATAATCTCGTGACATCGTTTCCTTTCCAAAAATACCATCAGCTGGTATTTCTATTGCCTTCCATTGCCTCGCTTTTCTGGTTACTTTCTTCAACAATTCATTCGCGATTTCTTCAACCCATGGACTGCTACCATATTAAAAGTAATGGACGAGTGTTGCACAAACAACAAAATGTATTTACATAAATTAAAATTGCTCAATTCTTTGATATACATGTAAACTTCAAAACTTTTACTCAATTTTATGGACGTGGCTTCTGCCTTCTTCATATGTCTGTCTCTCTCTTTCGCATTCTCCGAACATGCCTTTTGTAACAAAAGCTAACAGTGTTGCCACTTATATATTATACATTAAACCGGATCACAAGTGATATTTTAAAAATAATTATGTGAAAGGTTATTTGGTTGTTTTATTAGTAACCATTTAGTAATATTAGTAATATGATGTCCCGCATTTTTGTATCGCAGCTAAATTGTAAGTTATGAAGCTTCCAAGAAGCATCATATACCTACAAACCTATTTTCAGGAAAAAATTAGCCGTCATTACTCAAAATTGTTAGCTAATGATCTGCTGAGTTGAAACATTGCATAATGGGATCTGATGAGATCTGTGTCAGATCGAAATAGTTGTGTCTGGTGTTAAATCATGAACGTAAAAAATCTGGGCTCTGGCATCTAGATTTTCATTATTTTTCATAGATTTTTCTTGAGATGAAATCAACCTGATCTGCAATATTTTCTAACATGCCCCTAAATCAAACAAATCACAAGGATGAATGGTATAATCGACAACAAAATCATAATTTATGAATGCTTTTAAGTATATTACATTCTGGAGCAGAAGCAAAACCATCAAATGGACCCAAATTACGTGATAAATTTGTTGAACAAATGAATCGAAACTGTGGAGCAGCATTTTGTGCCAGATATTTACGATAGATCTGTAGAATTTGCAAGTTGCAGTCCAAAGGTCGCTTTATTTATTTCGAAACAGAATGATCCAGGACTGCAATAAATTAAGACCTAAACTTAGTTGGCCTGGGTGTTGCACACATTTGAAATCGGTATTTCATTTATATACGCAGTTTATTATAATCAGGGATCAATAGGAACAATTCGAATCGAAATATTTCACATTAAATTGCTGTTAGGTGTAAATTGCAGTATATGTTATATAACCTATTTTTGCTTCATTATTTTCTGAAAAATGTTTTTGTAGTATGTGCGTACTGGGAAAACGTTTGTTGAAACTGGATAATACTCTGGAGGACTGTCACAAAAACGAAACTGGCCTTTTGCATAAAATGTTTTGTTCAAACGAAACATCAGTATGCGATCCATATTATCTAGCTCATAATGTTACCATCGAAAGAGGCATCAAGGGACTAGCTTCTGGAGTATTTTTTGGTAAATATGGAAAATATCGATCAGAGTGTAGATAAAATTTTGCTATTTTTCAGATAATATTTATGACGGTTTTCTGGAACAAGGTCAGTACATAACCTCTGGGAAGCTTGTAGAAGATTTCGAGCAGATGGGAAGCCAACATTACAATCAAGTGTATTCCGATATCACAACGACGTTTACAATTCTCATTGGAATCTTTTTTCCTTCTGTTACGGGTATCATGGCGGGATCCAACCGATCTGGCGACCTTGCTGATGCCCAAAAGTCGATTCCCGTTGGCACCATTGGCGCTATATTGACTACATCTTTGGTGTATCTGTCATCAGTTCTTTTATTTGCTGGAACTGTCGATAATCTACTTCTTAGAGATAAGTGAGTACCCAACCCGATTAGAAGTAGACCTCTTATAGCAAAACAGCTACTATCTAGTTATCTAGTCAACATAGTTGAAAGTATCTTCAGTATTTCATTGAGGATGTCGATATCTGGCTTCATACATATCCAACACTCGGTAAAATTATTTTTTATAGGTTTGGTGAATCGATAGGAGGCAAACTTGTAGTAGCTAACATGGCTTGGCCGAATCAGTGGGTCATTCTGGTAGGTTCAATATTATCTACGTTAGGAGCTGGTCTGCAATCCTTGACTGGGGCACCTCGCCTGCTTCAAGCCATAGCTAAAGATGGCATAATACCATTTTTGTCGCCTTTCGCAGTTTCTTCTAGTAAAGGAGAACCGACAAGGGCTTTACTCCTCACTTTGATTATTTGCCAAGGTGGCATTTTGTTAGGAAATGTGGACATACTAGCACCACTGCTCTCCATGTTTTTCTTGATGTGCTACGGATTCGTCAATCTGGCTTGCGCTCTACAAACTCTACTGAGGACTCCAAATTGGAGACCCAGGTTCAAATATTACCATTGGTCCTTATCTTTCATTGGACTATCGTTGTGTATTGCCGTTATGTTCATGTCTTCATGGTACTTGGCCCTGATAGCAATGGCGATGGCAGGGATTATTTACAAGTATATCGAATATAGAGGGTGAGTCCAACACAGATCATAACAATGAGGAGAGACTGGTATTACCCTGCTGGATATATAACACTCTATTTTCAGGGCTGAGAAAGAATGGGGCGATGGCATAAGGGGTTTGGCCCTATCAGCAGCTAGATTTTCGTTATTGCGTTTAGAAGAGGGCCCACCACATACCAAGAACTGGAGACCGCAGATTCTAATTCTTGTTAAACTGACTTCTGATTTGTTGCCAAAATACAAAAAGCTGTTTTCATTTGCAGCTCAGTTGAAAGCAGGTTAGCCCGAACGTCGACATGGAACGAACGTATTGTATAGTTATGACCCTTTACAGGTAAAGGTTTGACTATCTGCACTTCTGTGATTGGTGGAGATTTTACTAGGTCATACGGAGAAGCCATGGCAGCCAAACAAAGTCTCAGCAAAACTATGGAGGATGAAAAAGTAAAAGGATTTGCAGAAGTACTAGTCGCCAGAGATATCATCGAGGGATTATCAAATCTGTAAGTGAGCTCGATATGTAATTATCGGCATTAGCTATTTGCAGTTCCAAACAAAATATATCAGAATTCGGGGACTATTCCCCAAAAATACGTTCTTTTTACCGTTACCGCTAATGATTGTATTTCAATTTCAATAACTTCAGAGTGCAGACTGCTGGGTTGGGCGGTTTGAAACCAAACACCGTGATTTTGGGTTGGCCTTATGGATGGAGGCAATCCGAAGACGACCGCACGTGGCAAGTGTTTTTGGAAACTGTAAGGAACGTTACTGCTGCTCGTATGGCTCTTCTGGTTCCGAAAGGAATCAACTTCTTTCCAAATTCTACAGATAAAGTCATCGGTAATATTGACATCTGGTGGATCGTGCACGACGGAGGTCTTCTGATGCTGCTACCATTCTTACTGAAACAACACAGGACGTGGAAAAACTGCAAAATGCGTATTTTTACTGTCGCTCAAATGGAAGACAATTCTATTCAAATGAAAAAGGATCTGAAGACATTCTTGTATCATTTAAGAATTCAAGCTGAAGTCGAAGTGGTTGAAATGGTGAGGACGATAACTGAAGGTTGTGTCACGGGTAATTTTGAATTCATTTTCATTCTAGATGGGGCACGATATTTCTGCGTATACTTATGAAAGAACTCTGATGATGGAGCAGCGTAACCAAATGCTCCGCGAGCTACGTCTAAACAAGAAAGAAAGTTTGGGTATGGTGAGTATCTTATCGCAACTGAGCCTTTCCGCGAATTGTAATAATTTTGAATTTTCTTTGGCATGCACGGTGCAGTCTTTGGTGGACTTTAACGAAATATCAACGGAAGAGAAGCTACCATTGGTAAAGCAAAATCGTATTTTGCTAGAATCATCGTTCATTTCAGTTTTGCACGGTTCTGTTGAGTTTTCATTTCTAATTCCCTCTGTATTTACAGACAATCATCATCATCATCGATCATAATCATTTTCACACATACGACTTTTGAACAGTTTCTAATGGAAATCCTGTGACTTCTAGGTACAGTCTATCGTTGATCAGCATCACCAGAATTCTGACTCCAAGTCAGGGACTAAAGTTCGTTTCCAGGAACCCGGAGCAGAAAGTGATAACAAAACGGCAGCAGAACCTATAAATGAGGTATTTGAAAAATGATTTTTGATTTGAGGGAGTCTGATATGTTGTTGAGTTACAGCTCAATTCTGAATCGAAGGAAGATTCTGACAATGTGAAAGAAAAAGACGACTCTTCGGAAAATGAGAAAGAATGTACAAATGAACATAATAACTCTAATTCTGTATCAGAAAATAGTAAATCCACTAAAACTCCGTAAGTATCTATGAAGAGATTGTTTTTCCAGTGTATACAAAAACTAAAATACACTTACATAAGTGATTGTAACGAGTTGTCACTTCTTTTTTTTTTTTTCGCTGGCGAGGCCCAAAAGAAATATCAGAGTGGACACCAACTTGTCAGAACTGCGATGGTGTTCAAGTACGGAACTACAGTTTTTGACCTGATTGAATTCCATACAAAAGAATTATTGGAAATATGTACAATAGACTGAATCTATGTTCTGTAGTTGCATTAGGCTTCATTAAGAGTTGACCAGAACTTTTGTTACTTAGGTCACCAGTTACAGAATGTGTTTCTTCAAACGTGGCATTGAAACAAAGTTATATTTCGTGAATTCGTTTCCATTGTAATGGATAACCTTGAGCAACCGACTACATTAACGCATTGCATGGAGTTCATCAGGATATTCTTATCTCATAATTTGGTGAAGTCGGTATACAGAATGATGACTATTATCTTATCTCATGAACCATAGTCAAATTGTGACAAAAATGGATACAGATTTTCATCAGCTGCGGTCATTTTGACTGTTTCGCAAGGGTCACACCAGGATCCGTTTTTATTCAGATATTCAAATACACTTTCATATGTCGATTACATAAAAATTAACAAAAAATCAACCAGTAGCGATTTATTTGATAAATCAGAAAATCCAAAGTTGAAACTTAAATAAATGTTTTGTCATTTCATCACTTGATACCTCTTGAGATCAAATTCTTAAGGAAAATTTATCCCTAAGGATAGGTAAATCTGGTTCTTTTGCAAGAACAGTCCTGAAATGATAACTAAATTTTATATTCCGTTACTATGACAATTCGTTGACTTATCTGGAAGAAATAATATCGGCGACTCATGCATCGACAAGATCTTCTATTGTGTAACTGTTCTTTTCATGTTTTTCAGTGACGAAGGTAACGTTCGTCGAATGCATACAGCTATTAGGCTGAATGAAGTAATAGTCAATCGTTCCCACGAAGCTCAACTAGTTATTTTGAATCTTCCAGGGCCTCCCAAGGACACCAAGCTGGAAAGAGAATCCAATTGTAAGTAACAACGACATTTTTAGGCATGGACAAAGTTTCATGGAGAAATTTGTTTTCCAACTTTGACGCGTATTCTCTCGAGACTTCTATGCGTCATTAAAGACTCACGCTACACTATTACTTCCAGGCGTAATCGATATTCAATGAATGAGCGAGATGAATTTAATCGTGGGCGAAATTGGATTTGTGTTCATCTACTTTCGTTCAGTTTATTATTTGTTGAAGTGAAAATGTGATTCAATTAAAAATTTTCGAACGGTATGACATCTTCCTCAACCCTGAATTTTTCGTGAACTTTGTAACAATTATCTACAAGTTCAAGGCTACGACAAAACTTTTTTCAAAGGACCGCCACAATTTTCACAAGCGGAGAAATACATGTTGTCAAAAAAACGTTGAAGTATTTCATTTGGCTTTGTGACATAAATGACCTAAATGACCCAAATAGGTCATTTATAACGAATCTGTAGGGTAAGAAATTATTCCGCGAATCCCTAAGGCTGTTTTCGTCTACTTTCGATTTATAAATCTTATCATGATACACCCAGACTAATTTTTTAAATTCTTATGGTTTCTCGCATTCCCTTTTGGTTATCAAAAAATTTTAAATCGAGAAATGTTTATGACTACCTTTGAATTATTCAAACTTTATTGGAGTAAAACTTCTTTACGTGTGCTTGACTTGGGAAGTAATTTGGTGAATGCGTGACGAAAGCGTTACGAAAAGTGTGGTCTGGCGAGGCGAACGTTGAAGTAAAACTCCTTTACGCGCGCTTGACTTGGGAAGTGAGCTGGTGAATGCGTGACGAGAGCGTTGCGAAAAAAGTGATCGGGCGAGGCATACGTTGAAGTGAAACTTTTTTACGCGCGCTTGACTTGGGGAGTAAGCTGGTGAATGCGTGAGGAAAACGTTACGAAAAGTATGATCGGCGAGGCGAACGTTAAAGTAAAACTTCTGCATATATATTCATATACATATATTAATTTTCAACAAATATATTATGGATATTCATTGATTAATTACTATTTCTGGATAGATTTTTTATTTTTATTCATTTTCATTATCGGATGCGTCAGTAATTACTGTGGTTAATTGTAAGACCGAGACAATAGGCTCAAGGTATAAAAAACAAGATACATATGTTTCTGAATGAAAATTAGGAAGATATCTGGAGGAACCTGCATCGATTGATGTTCCATGTATTCAAATACTTTATTGTGAGATTTCACTAAACAGTTTCAGAAAAACCCAACACGTGTTTCGCCATACTATGGCTTCTTCGGACGTCTCTTTACTTTGTTTTATGTCTTCTGGTAGGCTCATTTCAGTTATTATTCATTTGTAATTCTATTTTATCTTGTAGAAACTTCACCAAAAGTTATCTATCTCCGGACGCGAAATTAACATTGAAAAATCTCCTGCTCAAATTAGTGGCAACGAATGATAGTTTTCTCCCAATTCTTCAGGGCCTACTAGACCGTAAATGTGTGCTCGCACCTCTCTCTCTCTCTCTCTCTTGCCCGTACAGTAATATGCGAAACGTAAGTCTCTCTTTTTTTCTATCTTCACTATCTTATACCTCCCTCTCAACTTCCGTTCGCCTCGCCCAATCACACTTTTCGCAACGCTCTCATCACGCATTCACCTACTTACTCTCCAAGTCAAGCGCTCGTAAAGAAATGTTACTTAAAAAAGCCTTAAAACAACTAGCAGAATTTTGTTTCGATACGGGCAGGGTGACCACCTACAGGCAAATATGGCATCTATTTGTGCAATGTTCTACAAGGAGAACACTTTCAGTGGTACTTGCAGTGGAAAGCAATAAGTATTATTATTCATTTAGTTGAGAAGAACCACATGTGTATATATGTATGTTTCAATGTTGTTGAATCTCAAGACAACAGACTGGACTCTCCTCGATGTCAGCAATCTGAATTCGTCATTATTTTTCTTCTATCTCAATGTTTATAAACCAAAAGTGTTGAATTTTCGATGAATTATAAAGATCCGAAACTTTGTTAATTCATATATTAGTCACCCCTCGACGATAAATGGTTCTGATGTATTCCTCGTCGATGATGGTAGCCCAATTCACTGAATGACAACCGACAAACCCATAATAATGAATATATTCATGCACTCGACATAACACATGCGATCATGTTTTTCTTAAACGATGTATTTTGAGACATCCTGTATACATACTTGGTATATGTTGATAACTGAGTTCGCACGTTGAAACGTTAGACCACTGCATCGTTAAGCTGTCATGTGTTTTTTTTAAACAATATATTTTAAGGCACCCTGTAAATTTTTTCTGTTATATTGACACACATCTGAGATTTTTTGGTCTCAGTCATCTCCTGATGATGTTAACTGACTAATCGCGCGTCGAGAGATCATAAATAACAAATGACAGACGGCCATTGTTTTTTCTCGAGTCAACCTTCATCAACCCGTGGTCAAAAACTTACATTAAATACCGAGTTAGGTCTGAATGTACCCCAACATTTTTTTTGGCTTATTATAATTTTTTAATGTTATACTTAGGAAAATTCAAAATAAAACACATTCTTCTTATAAAAAAATATAGTTTTGCATAAAAAAGTTGTCAGCATTGATAAATGAGTAAATAATATGAAATGATCAGAAATAATAAAAACAAAAATAATTATGAAAAAAGAAGAAGCATTTCAGTGACATTTCGAATAATGATATTTAACTATCACACTTGTTACAAACTGTTACATTTTTTGAATGTTCTGCATATAAGAACTGATTGCACCGAATAAAAAACGAGATTTTCTGTTTTTACTCCAGTCGCATAAGAAACATCACTGCTTTCGCCAATAACGAAAACAGGTTGTTCGTTTCTGAGGTTCAATTCAGGCAAAATAGTTGAAATGGATTGTTTTATATTGGAATGTAACGACTTGTCATTTTGGTATCTACGAATTATGTAATAAAAATCCACTTTTTTAATTAAAAAACACTTACATAAATGAGGTTGTATATCGCTGTATATGCCGAACTACAATCAGCCAGTGCCCAAATACTCAATCGTTACTTGTCCGGCTTACTCTTCATGAAAACCCGAAAAGGAGTCTTGCTTCGGAATAGGACTAACTACTCACCCATGCCACAAGAGTTCAGATGGATTGGAAGATTTCTTGCAATTTGTTACAAAAACATCTCTGATTGGGGAAAATTTATCAGTGCGTTTTCTTTCTTCCCTTGTTTCAAAATTGTCGAGTCTTAGAAAGCACATAATCTGTAGGAATATGTTGCGAGACAAGGTAGATGATACTCAAGGACGACATAAAGTTGGGTTTTGGCTCCATAGTACACATATTGGCTCTTTAACAGCGTGCCAGGCTCCACAAATAATAAGCCAAACAATAAATGCTTCCAGTTCTTCTTACACCAGAGGAGAAAAGTCTTTCTCATTCCTCACATAATATGATTCGGCTTTTCTATTTGTCTCCGATAAAATCACATCCATATTATCTTGTGAAAAAATTGTTCAAAAGCTTCTTTCATGGTGGAAAATTGGAAACTATATCTAGTCAAACCTGGTAAAACCTTTTGAATTTAACATTTCCGTTTCTTAATCTTCGTAGTGAAAAGAAAATTTTCCGCACACTACCATCTTCGGACGAATGAGTTGGATAATCGGTATAAAAGTTTACTGACGGGTAAACTTCACCTGCAGAATCTATCGACTCATTTTATCTATCATTAACTTGTGAAACGTCATGTATCTTATTAGTTTCAGTCACTATGTCACCATCCTCTAGTGCTAAATGATTGAAATAAGTGTCGTCATCGTCCGTTTCTAATATCTCCAATAGTTCTTCGTCAGTTAGCCCATTTTCATTCAAAACTTTCGTGGTTCACTCATTTTTATTAACGCGTACTCAACAATCACTATTAACGTGACTAAACACACAAAAATTATACTGCAATACGTGCGCAAAGCCGGTATCGAATAAATTAGGAATCCCTGAGAGCAACGGGGTATCCCCGTCGTTTGAACAATTCGGGGTTTATTTGTAACCCTATTGGTTTTCTACGTAGGCAAAATTTATCGATGATCAAATCGATGACCAATTCGAACACCAATTTGAGGGGCTAAAGCGAGTACCAAATCGAGAACCAACGGGGCCTAATTCGAGGATCAAAAATTTATTTAGGAATGCCTCATCCTAATTCGAGGTCCAAGTCGAGGTCCTATCTCGACACGGAATTGCCGATGACCTCCGACAAAAAACCGCCGACCCCATCCCTATCATCAGTTCACAATTACTTCCAAGATATCACGTTGGTTTCGAGGCTAACGACCAAACCTACCATGCCGACGACGTACGGTATGAGAATGAACTCATAACGGTATGAGAATGAACATCGGTATGAGTCATACCGATGTTTTTTTATTTTAGTTTCCCATGAAATTTCCAGCTGCTGGTGGCCACTGGGAACACATGGCTGGTGCACTCTGATTTGCTGTCCGACGTCACTCTGTATCATAAATCAGGTTGGGTGTTCCACTAGGTTCCGCTCGGAGGTCCGAAAAGTATTAAAATGAAGCATCATAGGAAAAAGCATAGGATTTTGTCCCAGAACCAGCATTATACATTTACTCCATTTTCATCCATATACCGACCTATACGTATAAAAGTAGGTTTTTAAATGTTCTTTATGCATAGACTGATATATCTCAAGGCCTTCGTCATATTCTTTCTGACTTTCTCAGGTTTCTGAATTAAGGTGGCATTCCTTGGTATGTATCTCAGAGGGCACGGTGATAATTTGATCTTGTTTTCAGATATGGAGTTCCTGGAAGTTCTGACAGAGGGTTTGGAAAGAGTTTTGATGGTGCGTGGCGGAGGACGAGAAGTGATTACCATCTATTCGTAATCTTTATGCGACTCTAAGCCGGAAGCTAGATATACATCTGCAGGCTTCTCGAAGTAATCAAAGAACATTAATTATATATTTGGGATGGAGGTGACTTACCAGTATTTTAGAATTTCGGAACAAGAATAGTGATTATACCAGAGAGATACTTATTTATTCTTCTTAATGTTATAGATTGTACAGAGCCTGGTGTGCATGAATTGCCTCCACCTGGGTTTCGTGATTCTTTCATTTTATGATGATGTATCAAATCAAAATGGATGTTACGTAAAGTGCTCATTTTTTATAAACCAATGACTAGCCATGCCAGAATCGTGCAAGTTTTAGTAGATCGTAAAATGAAATCAAATAGTTAAGTACACGAGTGTTAGTCTTGTAGATTTCGTTCGACTATTCTGCGAAATTTATCACTTGCACTCTTGAGTGATATATCCCTTTATAGTATTTATCACTATTCATTCTTTGACATAAACTGACTGCATATTGTTGTGCAACAGTGCATTTTCTCCGATTGGTTTCGCTATTTCGTTCACAGGGCGACCGTGAAAGTATATTTTATTACGTAAAGTATGCTTTTTAACTGATGTGCGTGCATTCATACATATAGAGATGTTTTGACAGTACTGACAAATAAGCAATCTTTTCAATGCAGAATTGAATTGAAAATGTATGAAAATAGGAAAAAAACTCTTGTTCCGCTATAGATACCATACTTCATAAATGAACTTATGAACTCAATAATTATCACATAGCATTATTAATTTTTTGAGTACCATCGAAAGCCTCCATTTTATTTCTTTTATCCATATTTCAAATATTGAAAGAACAATATTTGTAGTTCAGTTTAGTATCAGTTGGGCTTCAAGAAACTGATGTATATATAGGTTTTATATGAAAATCTCAGAAGATGTTTTCAAATTATAAATATTCCAGAAACCATTCAATAGTTTGATGGAACTCGAAATGATCAAATTGAAAATTCATAGCCTGAGATCCGTCAAAAAATTCGTCAGAGCGTTTTTACTACAATTGATGCAAAATGCTCAAAATATATTTTAATGTTACCGTGGAGTGTACGAATGCACACACATTTTCGAAACCGAAGCACAAAGCTCTTGAAAACGTTTAACACCATATATGTGACAAATCGTAGATTCTTCCTGTTGCGTACGTTATTCAGTTACAGTCAGATTTTTTTTTTGTAAATCTGTCGAATAGTGAAATTAGTCAGTCAGTATTATGTTCTTTTAGATGGTAATGAAACATGTTCTCATGTACCTATGAATAAATTAAGGATTTTGAGCAATACTAAGTAATATTTACTGTATTAAATGTCAAATTACGAGTGATAGAAATATATTATTCAGTATGTAAATAATCTCACACATGGTTTCCGATAGTAATTTGTAGGTGGAAACGGAAAATTTTCATACAAATAACGAAACGGAAAAAATCTTTCTACGGATCACTATCTGACATGTGGGGACACTTTTTCTCCTATATACAGTTTTTGAAGAACATACGGGGTACATAACAACTCTCCGTCCTGTTGCAAATTGGACGATCTTACACAGCAAGAGATGCTCTTCCCTCACATGTTCGATCGTAGAACTTCTTTCTTGCGATATGCCGTGGCAGTGTCAATTTTTCTCTTTTGCGTGGCGCTGACCAAAATGATCACACGAAGGGGCGGCTCAACTTTGTATTGTCTGTTATGGCCACTGCGTATGGGGATGTGGCAGTTGTTCCAAAAATATGAGCAGCCTCCCAGACGACACCGGATATCGTATATAAGGATACCCAATTCTTATGTGATATCTGATGGACGTAGAAGTTATACTCAGTAGGTCGATAAGATATCCTTTGAACATGAATTAGATGTCCAGTGGATATAATTCAAATTTTCACGGGTAGTCTGAGCCGGAACACCTTCCTAATTTTTGCAGATCAATGTACAAGTAATGGTGTTTCGTTGAAGTTTTTTGGGGCAATTGTGGATTGTCAGGGCAACTGATACATGTATTGAGTATTTATCTTACTATCGAGAATTTATCTAGCGTTATACTGGTGATTTATGTTGGACATGCTAATTATTGTTATCAATTATAATAGGTATAACTTGACAAATCTAACAACTACTTCGAATCGAAATGTCAAATTGTACCTATAATTATTGTCTATATAATTTTTATTCAGGTTATGTTTGTTGATAGATCTTTATTGTTGAGAATTTTGTTATCCCTAGGAATGAGAAAAATCATCTATAAGCAGTTGGCAAATGTTTGTTATTGACAATAACCAGCCCATGTTCAATTAAAACAAAATTACGTTTATTGCAAAGTGGACAGTCAAACTATTGAATATTTTCTGATGGATACTTTTGGAATTTTATGATAAATGATCGATTCTAAAAAACTCTGCTGATATCATCAACAAAAAGGTTAATTTTCCTGAGATGATTCTGGGATGGTATATATATACTTAAATAAATAATTCAGATCGATTACCACGGAATTGGCTGATAATTTTTCAAATTTCAAAGCAACGAAATACTAACAGATCAGAATTTTTTTTATTGTTTTTTCCTTATTAATATTCATATTTTCCTCATTAGAAACATTATGAATACAGTCATATCTCAACGGTATATTTGAAATTGTCTACTCACTCACCTTTCAAATACAACTGAAATCATTGAGTTGAAACTTCCATTGCCTAACATGATTTTACTATGATTCGAAATCTATGAAAGAACAAATAAAATTAAAATAAATAACTGAAATACCAATTATATCAAACAATAAATCCATTACAATAAAACAAAATGAAAATGACCACAGAGTAAAAGAAAATGACTGATTGATTATTCCATTCATTTCATTGTTATTTCATTTCACGTTTTATTGTTTAATATATTTGATATTTCTGCTATTCATTCTGATTCTATTTGATCTTTCAGGGATATCAAATCATATTATCATATTAGAGAGTGGAAGTTCGAACTGATGAAATTCACCGTGAAACATTGTCAACCATCTTCAAATAAACGTTGATGTCATCACTTTGGCCTTTCTGACAGTGCCATTACTATTCTGAGTTGCAAAGAAATGAAAACCACAAAATTTTACAAAATAGTACAACTTGATCGTTTTTCCTACTTCTCTCATCTTTTGAAAGTATCGAAGAATCTGATATTGTATATAGGTTTCAACAATTGTTGTTGTTTTTATGCACCTTACCTGACATATTTTTTTATCAACAATTAACAAATCAAATCCGAATATTTTCAGGCTAACCAAATCAATATATGCATTCTGTTTACGATGTCTTTGATTTGTTTCATATGAAGAAAAGATTTTCAAGAACTGTGTAAAAAATACTTTGTATTGCATTTGATGAATATAAACAGGTAAATGTCGCAAGAAGAGTATGATTAGTTGCGATTTCTTAATATATTTTTCGATTTCATATAGTCTTTCATGTTTCTTAAATAGTTTACACTAAAGAGAATTCACAATATATACAGTAATATTTGGTCATTGAATGTGATCATTCTCCAGACTAAAATATAATCATATGATAGGGGATAAACCAGTAACAGAAAAAGTGTATCTTGAATAATAGTTCGTATATGTTAATAGTTTGTGCAAAAATGGCATTCATCAGACTGAACTTGTGGTATTGACTAGAATTTTCATATAACATCTCATATTTTTCAATTTCCAAAAAGTGGATCATATTCACAAATTCCGTATTCACAAATTTAGCATTCTAATTCAGCATGTCAAAGATTTCTTATTAGTGCTAATGAAGTTTCCAGTTTCCAAAGAATATTAAATTACCTGAAAATGTTGTCCTGTGATTCATAATCAGCTAATTCAGATACAGCCAATGGAGTTCCTAGATACTGAGTATGGAATTGTGGTAAAACATCGTTAATGGATGAAAAATATCCAAGTACTAAAAATTTTGGGAAATTTTATCATAAAATTATCGAAAGGAACGATATTCAACGAAGTCCATAGAGTCGAAACAATTTTCTGGGCTGTTATTAGTTGGCCTGCGATATTTATGTCTACAACTGCGGTAAATATTTTTAAAGGTGATGAGTTAACGGAAGCAACCTGGATGATATCATTTTTGATAATGTATGCCGCAGTTGCAAATGAAACTTCAGGCATGAACAGTAGCAGACCATGATCAACAAACCTGAAAAATAGTTTTGCACTGTTATCTCAAGCCGTTAGAACTCAAATTCTTTGAAGTCCATTCTGGTAACTTATTTTGATATTTTATCGCTCTTTTTGGACCAGTATGGCAAAAAAGTCAGTCAGATTTCTAAACTATGTTTTCGTGCAGCTGCGCAAGTGTAGGGGTATATAGTGCACTAGTGATCTCGAATAGCCTTAAAGGTACCTTGAAATAATAAATTCTATTTATTCATATTGATGTGTCACTAAAGTAGCTAGTGCCAGATTGCATTATTATAAATGGACTATTTGTGTTTCCTGATATTTTCTTGGTTAACCTTACTCTGAGATTCTTCGGATATATCGACTTGAAAAGTGAAAAATCAGATGAGTGAGGGAGAGATTTTTTTTTACCCGAAACAACAATTTTCAATTACCATCTATCAATGTGCCAAATGTTGCATCATTGAAAAGAATATCCTTGGACTAGGTGAATATTTCATTTATTTCTCCGTTATTTACCTAATGAATATTGATAATGGTGCAATCTGTATTTCATTACAATTATTATTATTGACAATGTGTTCATTGTATGAAACTTGGAATAAACTTATTAATAGAACAGTAGTTTTCATATTCATCCTTCATAATTCACGTAAAGAAATGATCCAAAATTAGCCGTCTATAAATAAGCATTGTAGTGCAATTTTCATCATACAAGATAAACATTTTGTCGTTTTTAAAGAGGATATGTGCATTGTATTTTTGCTAATACATCGAGTTCAACTGAACCAATGAGATTTCCTGAAGGATATATAGTATTGGTTTTTCATTTCATATGGCCTTCATGTTGCCCTGAGGCACACATTTCGATTACATGATGTATACAGGTAACATGTATCAAGAGTTGCATTAAAACAAGAAAGATATTAGCAATTTAGACTTTTTTATACCTACATTAATAAGATTATATAGATATCGTGTAAAAATGGAAAAGTTACGAACGTGAGAATAAAATATAAAATGGCTCAAAAACGCATAGATAAAACATAATATAACGAAAGTTATAGGGGGAAATTATTGAATACTACTAGATCTTCTATTCTCCTTACCATATTTCAGTAAATTTTGCTGAGATTTTCAATGTCAGTTTTTTGTTCATTGAGTGTTCTTCGTAATTGATATGCATCATTTCTAAATATATTATTTTTGTTGTATCAATTTCTCTATCTATAATATGTGGGTTTTCAAAATCCATTTTATGATCCTCCGAATCAAAATGCTCTCTTAACGTGTTGGGTTGGTAAACATTTGTAAGATTATATTTTGTACTATGAAATAGTGGATTGGTATGAATGTTTAAAATTGTCACTAGTCAGTCAGTTGTCAAATTGTTAGGATGTATGTATGGATAAAAATAATGAAAAAAAAACAAAACTACAACATAAAAGTGTATAATTACAAATATCAAAGCCATCACAATAAATAAATAAATAAAACCCAGCAGATTATGGGCCCAGATCACACTCGAACTGTGGAACCATAAAAGAAATATCCGTAAACCAGTATTTTGGTGACTATAGAAAAATTTGTAGCCAGGCATCATAAACAAGTAAACATGGCGTAAATCAATGTAGACAATGACGATATCGCCAGTATCCAGAAACTCAAGGACAGTTCCATTTTTCCAGTTTGAAATTTTGAAATAAAAATTATATTCAGAGCAAAGCAACTGATGGAAATTGTTGATTGAACTACTTCACTTGCAAGTTGTGGAACCGATCAAAAAAAGATCCATTGATAAATCAGTTAAACTACATCTTATCACCTGCAAAAGTTCTAAAGAAATGTATGATACTCTAATGCGTATCTAAAAAAGAGACAACAATCAAGAAAAGTGTTTGCTTCTTCAAGAGTTCTATAATTATAAATATGATGCATCCAAGGATGTGAACTTGAATATAAGCACACTGCAGAATTTGGTTTTCAAATTGAAAGTACTAAATCAAGAAAGATCAGAACCCATGTTGGTCTCCAAAGTACTAACAATTCTTCCAGACGAATTCAAGCACTTCAGCTCTGCATGGGACTCGACCCCCACAGTAGACGAAACCAT